CAAAACAAGTTGCCGGGCGCCGCCGCCGGAGGGGGCCGGGCGGGTCACTCACCCTCATCCTGCTCAGCGGGCTCGGCTCGTCCGGCCGTGCGGAGAGGGAAGACCAGAGGACCACGAGCCCCAGGAAGCTCCCCACCACCAGCAAACTGCGTAAGATGAACCCAATCTTCAGCCTCATCTTCCTCCGGCGGCGAGAGACACAGCCCGGCGCAGCCGCCGCCACGGCTCTCCCTCCCTCCTCCTCCCCCTCCCTCCTCCTCCTCCTCTCCACCCCTGCGGCTCCGGCTGCCGCCCGCCTCACCGCCGCCCGCTCCCGCGCCAGCCCCGGAACTCCCCTCGCGCTGCCTCCCCGGGCTCTTCCTGCGCCCCCTCCCCGGCCCGCGCCCCCTCCGGTCCCGCGGCCTCCGCAGAGCCCCGGCCCTCGGGGCGCGTCGCCGCCCGCGCTTGCCCGCCCCCTGCCCCTTCCAGATCCGCAGTCCCCTCTACGCCGCCGACCCCACGAACCCCCTTTGCGGTCCCTGCGAGCTTGAAACTAACTTAACACTGGAGCCTTTGCCCTACACCCAGCTCCTTAAAGCTTCTCCATTCCCAAACTTTTACGGTAATCGAGGACCACCGCTCTGCCCGCCCTCAGCGCCCGAGCCCCGCGGCGGCCGTGCACCCCGCGCCCCCGCTGCCGGAGCCGGCTGAGAGGCTCGCTGGGAGCAAACCAGGAAGTCTGGGCTGCCGCCGCCGCAGCAGCTCCACGTGGCTGATTTATAGCGGGAGGGATTTATTATTATTGTTGTTTCTTTCGCACTGTTCCTTAAGGAAGTGAATTTGTAATGGAGAGGCCCAGGTGAGACGCGCAAATATCAGTGGATTGGGGGAGCTCAGGGAAAAGCCCCGCGCTTCCCTTTCTGTTCGGCTAATTAGAAGAAAGCGTGTGCCGCAAGCTGATGAGCTGTATGGTTCCTGGTCTTGGACTGATGCGTTTCTACTCGGAGGACCGAGGATTTCGGCTTGTCCCAGCACTCATCGCTTCTAACTCAGACCTGATTTTTGCCACCTGAGATTCCTTTTCTGCCTGTGAGACCTCACACAGGCAAGGATGTTGCCAAATGCGTGGCCAGGTCCCCTCCCCCCTGCAAAATATTGTGTCCGTTATTTCCTAACAAAGATGCCGATCACGTATCACAGTGTGTGTGCTTACACTATCAATGTATGTACTTTAAACTAATTTAAGTTAAGCAGAACGTTCAAGATTTTATTCTTCAGTTTTAGGGTGGTCAAGATTTATGTATTTTCCCCACTATTCATATCGCCCAGTTTTTATTTACTTATTTTACTTTAAAACAACATCTGGTTATTTAAATCCACTTGGGTAATGAAACCCTACATATGTGCACTGATTTTCATAGTCAAAAGAGGTGGTTTTTCATTATTAAAAAAATAGGAAGCTTAGATTTTTACTGTTATGAGCACTGCTTAGGAAAGTATGTAAATGGAGAATGGTTCTTGACCCCAAAGCGATGGGAGTGGTTTTTCTGATGGACTATTGAGATTCTGCCACCCTCCCCCACCTTTCATTTTGTGAGTAGAGACCTTAAGATATGTGTGAAAGGCCACAACATTAGAAATTGATGAATGGGTATATGTTGTAAAACATGTTTCTCAGAGTTCTAACAGTGTTTAAAAGAAACCGAAAGTGTACTTTAAAACATGCCTTTTGCAACATTAGCTTGGAGGCAGCCTTTGTAGAGTTGACAGAGCTCTTCGGAAAATAAGATGCTACGCAAGACAGCGATTGTTAGGAAAGAATCCCCCTGGCACGTCTAACCTAGGATGGTGTTCACTGAGGAAAAGCGTGGGGCTTGAACCTAGTGGGAAGGCCATAGGAGACGGCCAAGAGAAACACAATGGACTCCCCCAGTTATGAGGTCATATGTGATGACCTGAGGCTTTCAGTTCAGGAGCCACCTGGGCCTTGGAAGCAAGATAACCAGGAGAGGGGAAAATTTTTGACCACCACTGGAGAATGAGATGCTTCACATTTATTTCATCAAACCTTTATGAGATTATTCTGAAACTGAAATTCAAAGCAGGTTTTGTAACCTGTGTTCTTGCCACAGTTTGTATAATCTTTATAATCAAAATCACCTGATATTTTGCATTCTGTAAATAAACATTCTCGGAAATGATAAAAAACATCAAGGCCTAAAGATGTGTTCATTTTCAGAATTCTTCCCCATGTCAACTCTGGTGACAAGGGTTTGTGTCCATCTTTGGACCGCATTTCCCTGGGGCTCTCCTTGTGCCTGCCTGCATTACGCTGAAGCCAGCCTGAACATCTGAGCTTCCAAATGCGACTGGATTGCCTTTGGCGATTGTCCCTCGAGTTCTTTTTGCCTGAAATATCTTCTGATGCCTTAACATTAAACTAAGATGTCAGTTACAACAAGATTTTTCCAGATTCTCTCCCGTGTCCCTCCCCACCACTGTACTGTGACAGGAACCCCAGCTGGTACTTCCATAGTTACCACTATGTTGTCATTGCATAATTTTTTTCCACTCCCAAGAAGCTGGAGACCTATCTATCTAGATTATTCTGTATGTGTCTGGATTGTAGAAAAGGCTTAATGTGTTTCTGCTGGAATGCCTTAAAAAGTCAGTACTGCATCAACTGCTATCCCTACCTGAATGTTGTCCTTCAAAGGATAGCCCTGAAGGTTTTATTTTACTGCAGAGGGTCATCACTATCAACTGATGATCTTGTTTCCCTCTTACATCTTACTCAGAACTAAGAAGAACTCGATAGTTTTAAATTCATATTTTCATATTGAACTTTTTTTAAACTAAAATGGAACCATACAGTCATGGCCAATTACGATCTGTAGACAGATTTCAATTTTAACTGTCTTATTGCCAAAAACTTACTTGCATTAAAATCAGCAACTTACACATCCTGTTACCTCCTGCATAAACCATGTAATCATGTCTTCAAAGAAGACCACTAGTTGTAGTTTAAAGTCAAGGTGTATTTCATTGTTTTGAAAAGAATTGCTTTGATATCAAATGATAGTGGGTCAATATATCATGTCATGTGTGTTCTCTTACTGCATAACTACACCGAAATTTAGCTCTTTGAAAGAATAAACCTATTATTTGACATATATTTTGAGGGTCAGGAATGGAAGAGTTACTTAGCTGAGCATTTCTGGCTGAAATTTCTTCATGAGATGCTTCCCAAACTGTGATTAAACCTATGGTCATTGTAGCCCAACTGCGCCTAAAGATTCTGCTTCCGAGTTTATTCACGTTACCAACGGGAGGGCTTTAGTTCCTCACTGGCCGGTAGTGGAAGACCTCAGTTCCTCATCACCCGACGTTCTCCAGAGACCTGTGGAGACAGGCATCAGTCTGGGTACGTTGTCAGCGCGGCCTCATAGCAGGCTGACTTCTTCCTGTGTGAAAGATGGAAGGGAGAGCTCAAAATCCACAGACTAGGACACTACTGAGAAGTGAGAGAACCACACAAAGATGTGAGCACCAGCAGTCAGGGACCCATGGAAGCCATTGTGGAAGCTAACAGTGTTGGTAATTAAATATCTGGGTAGGAATACATGGTTTTCATTTATTGAGAAGTCAATTACAATTAAGAATTATGCCAAAATCATGCAAAAAGAATCCAAATCTTAACTAATTGGTTATTTCTGATTATCATGTAAAGAAGTACCATGCCTTTATCTATAAAAAGATGTTAGGACAAACAATCTTTAACATCCTTCCCAATACTGTAATCCTGAGGTTGATCTATGATGTTAATATAAGGTTAAGACTTAAAATTTATATTTTCATGTAAAATGCTATGAAGTCAAACTGTCTTTGTGCTTTTATTTTCTGACATAGGTTATTATTTCCATCAGAAGTTTAATGGCTAATTCTGTACTCATCTGGAATTAAGGACTGTTGTCAAGGGCTTCATTTGATGAGGCTAATGGTCTCCTACAGTGTTTTGAAGGCAAAAATGCTTATTTAAAAGCTCTCTTAGATTTCAAACTGTAGAGTACAACCTCTTCATGATTCATACCGTTTTTGGACCCCTATAATTCAAAGTGCTCTTCTGACGTAACCATTTACTTAAGAGGTGATCGAGACAGACCTTATCTCTTACCACTCTTGCTTGAAACCTCTTCAGCAGCTTTCCCTTACTCTTCGAATCAAGCCCAAATGCCTGTATTTACTACAAAGACTTGTGAGCTCACCTCTGCTCTCCTCCAAGCCTCCCAGCTGGTCAGTCAGTGTTCTCCTCTTTTCAGACTTAGACCCTAGCCTGTTGATTTCTCTCCTTTCCTGGAAGAGGTCAAGTTCTTTCTCACTTCTAGACCTTCCCTAGGACACTTCATTGTTTCTCCACCAATACCTTCACTCCGTACTTCTGACAATCCTTCAAATTTCAATTTATACATCAGTTATTTCAGAAATCTGATTCTTTTCAACTCCCAACCACTTGCCAGGTTGGGAGTCCCTGAGTCATGCCGTCGGAGCGTGCTGTAAGTTTTTTCTCCAAGCATAGAGACTTCTACTTTGTAATTCCTTGTTCAGGCATCACCTCCACTAGATAAATTCTTAAAGGAAAGGACCAGCTTCTCATTTCACATTGAATTCTTGGGATGTTGATAGGACTTGCTCAGTACTTGGAGGAGTGACTAGGTGAAAGTATATTTTATGTGATAACTGGTTTAAACAGAGAAACTGGTTAATAATTCTTTAATAATTATGAATTAAGCTGGGTGTGGTAGCCCATGCTTGTAATCCCAGCTATTCAGAGGCTAAGGCAGAAAGGCTGCAGTTCAGTGAGACATTCTCTCTAAAAGCCTGGAGAAATGTACGAGAGATACTGTGAAAGAGAAAGAAACTGCTCAAAAAGGAAGAACAACTCAGATGAGGGAAAGGGAAAAAGAAGGAAAGGGAGATAGGCAGATAGCTATGCAAGATAGTGAAGATAATTATACTATTAATTTCTATTGTTTTTTTGAAAGACAGTTAAGTTTTTGATCAATTTTGCATGCCTATATCTGATAATCTGAACAACTACTTTGAAGATAACTGTCTGCAATATAGCAACCATTGTTGATTTTCTATCATCTTGTCTTGAAATACTGTATAATTTTTAATGTTCTTTAAAAACATTTTTATTCTCTAAAGTAAAAAGCCTGCAGAGGTTCGGTGGCAGAGCACTTGACTGGCATGCGCAGTGCCCTGGGTTTAATCTCTAG